CAACGACCAACCCACGACGACGACGGTGATGTGGATGGAGCCAAGTTCTGGCGATTCTTTCGGTGCGAAGGGACGCCAAGTTTGGACCGCGGCAGCTGCAAATGAACATCACGTTGTAGGCATTCGAAAGAAGGGGGAGCAAGACGGGAGGTAGAGACTAGAGCATGGATCCCCCGATTTTTTCCCCAGACATCCGACGCCACTTTCCTGTAAGACGTGATAGCAAGCGCGGGCCCCAAACAGGGCGTCATTACAGTGTGTAGGTGGAAGCTATGCAGCGTAAGCTACGTGATGACAGCTGTGCAGTGTCGGCTACGTCGTGTGGGTTATAGAGGTGGCGCATGTACGGTGTAACCAATGTGGTGTAAGCTACGCCGTGTGCTATGTGGTGTACGATATGTTGTGACATGCGTGGTGAAAGCCATGGCGTGTAAGCACAGAGTGGGCTGGAGGTGTAAGATGTGGGGTGCAAGCGATGTGGCGCCAGCCAGGTCGTGCAATCTGTGCGGTGTAAGCTATGCGCTGCAAGCTATATCGTGTAAGGCTTACAACACAAAGGGGGGCACGCGATTAAAACAATGGGAGCGACACGGTTAAAACCAAATTCTCGCGGGGGGGGGGGGGGGGGCGGGGGGGACACGAATAGACCGTGCGCTCGCGGCGACGCTCGAGGGCGCTCGGGGCCGCGCGCCGCCGTTCGAGGGCGCCTGGCGCGCGCCGTCAGCAGCGTCGTGGCAGCTCGGAGCCCAGGGCGCCCGCGAGACCGCAACGTGGCGGCCACGTGGCGCCACCTCGGGAAACCCACCCCGCGCACGGGGCGCCCGCGCAGCGCCCACGAGGCGGCAGCGTGGCGGCCACGCGGGAGAGCCCAGCATCGAACCGACGAGTCGGATCGGCGATCGACGTGACTCGGATCGACGGGCATCGGCAGCAGAGCCGGGAAACGTCGAATGGGCAGACATCGGCAGGCCAGTAGGCCTCCAGTGTGAGAGCTCGGATCCCAGATCGCAAGCCGGATCGGAACCCATCGCCATCGAATCGGGTCGGATCGGCGGCATCGACGTGAGCCCTGGCCACGTGGCGCAACCTCGGGAACCCCCCCCCCCCAAGCGCACGGGGCCCCCGCGAGGCGCGCACGGGGCGGCAGCGAGGCGGCCGCGCGGCGCGTCCTCGGGAGACCCACCGGGCGCACGGGGGACGCCCGCGGCGCGGCACTGCAGGGACGCACGGCCCCGGGCCACTTGGGACCGCCTGGAGGGCTCCTTCGGCCGCCAGGGGACCATCTTTGAGGCCTCCTTGGCGCTTTGGGGGCCTCCTTGGTGGCCGCTGGGGCCGTCTTGGGCCGTCGGGAAGCCGAGCATGAGCAAACGACTGCAGGCGGGGCGGGCCCGAGGCCGGGCGCGCGGCCCCAGGCGCACGGGCGGCAGCGCCGCGCAGGCCCGGGCACATCTCCACACGCGAGCTAAACAGGAGCCCCTAGATGCAAGCACTGTCTGGGGGGCCTCTTGTCTTCTTACTCGGCGGTGGACAAACCTCCCTTCACGAAACCTCCCTTGAATGAAAACGGCCTGGGACCGAAACCGACGGACCTGAACCCGCAAAAATGACGGCCGCGACGCCCTCTCGTGAACCGAACACGGCACATTCCTGTCAGGGGTAGGAGGTTTGTCCACCCCCGATTTACCTTTGCTTCGCGGGGTGACTGAGGACAGCGAGCTGAATTTTCCAGCAACCGGCCTTCGGGTCATGCATGCCGGAAGCGTTACCGATGCCAATGTGGCTCCACCAGCCCTACCCCATAGAGGGAGAGGAGGGAGGTCAGAGCAGGAGAGAGGGAGGAGGGGGAGTCCCTGACTCTCAGGGTCATGCCACATCCAAGACCAGATTATCCCGGCAAAGCAACCTAACAGCGATGTGTAGGAGCATATCTGGAAGCATTCCCCTTAAGATTCAGATGATAATCCAGTTGTAGAATTTTGCTGTTCTCGCAGTCGGAGTCGCATTCACGATGACAGTCGCAGTGGCAACGGCAGTCGCAGTCACAGCCTCAGCCTCAGCCTGCCTCAGCCTCAGCCTCAGCCTGCCTCAGCCTCAGCCTGCCTCAGCCTCAGCCTCAGCCTGCTTCAGCCTCAGCCTCAGTCTGCCTTCAGCCTCGGCCTCAGCCTCAGCCTGCCTCAGCCTCAGCCTGCATCAGCCTCAGCCTCAGCCTCAGCCTGCCTCAGCATCAGCCTGCCTCAGCCTCAGCCTCAGCCTGCCTCAGCCTCAGCCTCAGCCTGCTTCAGCCACAGCCTCAGTCTGCCTTCAGCCTCGGCCTCAGCCTCAGCCTGCCTCAGCCTCAGCCTGCATCAGCCTCAGCCTCAGCCTCAGCCTGCCTCAGCATCAGCCTGCCTGCCTCAGCCTCAGCCTCAGCCTGCCTCAGCCTCAGCCTCAGCCTGCTTCAGCCTCAGCCTCAGTCTGCCTTCAGCCTCGGCCTCAGCCTCAGCCTGCCTCAGCCTCAGCCTCAGCCTCAGCCTCAGCCTCAGCCTGCCTCAGCCTCAGCCTCAGCCTGCTTCAGCCTCAGCCTCAGTCTGCCGTCGGCCTCGGCCTCAGCCTCAGCCTGCCTCAGCCTCAGCCTGCATCAGCCTCAGCCTCAGCCTCAGCCTGCCTCAGCATCAGCCTGCCTCAGCCTCAGCCTCAGCCTGCCTCAGCCTCAGCCTCAGCCTGCTTCAGCCTCAGCCTCAGTCTGCCTTCAGCCTCGGCCTCAGCCTCAGCCTGCCTCAGCCTCAGCCTGCATCAGCCTCAGCCTCAGCCTCAGCCTGCCTCAGCCTCAGCCTCAGCCTCAGCCTCAGCCTCAGCCTCAGCCTGCTTCAGCCTCAGCCTCAGTCTGCCTTCAGCCTCGGCCTCAGCCTCAGCCTGCCTCAGCCTCAGCCTGCATCAGCCTCAGCCTCAGCCTCAGCCTGCCTCAGCATCAGCCTGCCTCAGCCTCAGCCTCAGCCTGCCTCAGCCTCAGCCTCAGCCTGCTTCAGCCTCAGCCTCAGTCTGCCTTCAGCCTCGGCCTCAGCCTCAGCCTGCCTCAGCCTCAGCCTGCATCAGCCTCAGCCTCAGCCTCAGCCTGCCTCAGCATCAGCCTGCCTCAGCCTCAGCCTCAGCCTGCCTCAGCCTCAGCCTCCTGCTTCAGCCTCAGCCTCAGTCTGCCTTCAGCCTCGGCCTCAGCCTCAGCCTGCCTCAGCCTCAGCCTGCATCAGCCTCAGCCTCAGCCTCAGCCTGCCTCAGCATCAGCCTGCCTCAGCCTCAGCCTCAGCCTGCCTCAGCCTCAGCCTCAGCCTGCCTCAGCCTCAGCCTCAGTCTGCCGTCAGCCTCGACCTCAGCCTCAGCCTGCCTCAGCCTCAGCATCAGCCTGCCTCAGCATTCAAAATGTGGCCCGGGAATGGAATTCTGGGAACACGAAGAACACGAAGTCCCCTACAGTTGGCTCCAGGCATTCAAAATGTGGCCCCGGAATGGTGTTCGAGGAACACGAAGAACACGGAATGGCGTATACAGTTGGCTCTGGGCATTCAAAATGTGCCCCGGAATGGTGTTCTGGGAACACGAAGAACACGAAATGGCCTACAGTTGGCTCCGGGCATTCAAAATGTGGCCCGGGAATGGTGTCCTGGGAACACGAAGAACACGAAGTGGCCTACAGTTGGCTCCGGGCATTCAAAATGTGGCCCGGGAATGGTGTTCTGTGAACTCGAAGACCACGAAGTGCGTTACTGTTTGCTTAAAACGAGTTCCCCGGCATCCCCCCTGATCCTGCCCGGACCCCCCTGGGGAGTCATGATGCTCTCTTTTGACCCTACTAGAAAGCTATCAGTCTTCGCTGTCAGGTAAAAACGGCTCCTGGAGGTTGAACACCTTCCAACACATGAGTCTCTGTAAAACTTCTTGAAACCCAAATAAGGAGCAATACCATGCAATTGCATCCAAAGAGACAAGAAACCAGAAGAACTCATCGGAGGCTCATGTAAGAACAAGACATCTAAGACCGAGACATCCTCACGCCTCGCTGCACAACAGGCCAGGGGCGCCCAAGCGCCGCTGCCGGCATGATGCCAAGGCCGACGCTGGCGGGGACTTTAGCCGGCGTGTATTACATATCGGCCAAGCCAACACAAAAACCTTGATCACCGTCATCGCCGATTGGGAGAGGTTGGGCAACCGAATCATCCAGGGTAGGCCTGGTCCAGGTAAGGCCCATTTTGGCGCCCTCCATGCGCGGTCCAGGGAAATGCTGCACATAACCTATGAACCAGGATGGCCCATCTGCCAGAAACATGCTGGGCAAACCATACATTCGACAGAAACGGATCTGGGTGTACGAAATGGAAAAGCGCAAATCAATCGGCAGTTCTGACCACGCCCTGCCCTGACCACTCGGTTAGATGCTCGTTCTGGGGGCACTCGCTCCACTCATGCGCCGATGCTGTGTCGAACGTCCGTCGACTTGAGTCGAGCTTGAGCCGAGATTGGTTCGAAGTCGAGTCGAACTGAATTCGAACTAAGATCGAACTAGAATCGACCTAGAGTCGAACAGATCCGTTACTTAAACCTCAACTTGAGGCTCTGAAGATTGAGCAGGGACCGACCGTCCCGGCATTCCTATAGGCCTATCCCGACGTATTCTTAAAACCCAAACCTGTTGTAAGGAAACAAGCAGTGTTCTTAGAACATAAGCCCGAATTGTAGAACAAGACAGTCTCGGCCAAAACAGGCTCTAAGAACATGTCGTGCAAACCACGAAAGGTTCTCAGAGCATGCTTTGGTAGGCCTGTAGGCAGACCAGGACGCGTCGCCGCTGCTTGACTCTTAGGCCTCCACTCGAGGCTCTGAGGATGGACTACGACGCGAGAGCTGGGTCGGGCATGTCCAAAAATAGCCAACAACTAACTGAAACATCCTCCCCACACTATTTTTTTCCCTATCTTTGAATTGTCCTCCTGTAGAGGGATATGCCCGACTTAACGCGAGAGGGCCGCCTCGCCGCACGGCGGTGTGGCGCGGCCCAGCGCGGAACCCAGGAGGCGCGCAGCGCCGGCCGCCTGGTCCGGGCGGGTGGGCACACCGCCGCCGCCGCCTGGAGGCCTCCTGGGACATTCACGGGTCCCCGGGGATACAGCGGGGGCCGATCCACAAGAAACCTTCCACAAGAAGCCCAACCCTGAGACTGACCATCGCTCGGACGTCCATTCCCTATGCTCTTTCGGTTTCGTGCGCGGTTTTCTCGCAGGATGATCCAGGATGCTCATCAATGATCCCCGCTGAGAAAAAGTGCACACGTGCGAGCGATACCAAGGAGATCCCAAGACGTCCACTGATTTTTGGTGTGGGAACGCCACGCTTTCCACAGGACAGCATCGAAACCCTAGAAACCAAGGGCACCCGGCTGGCAAGCGGGGCGTTTTTTGGCGTGGGCCTCCACTGTATGATGTTCCGACCTACTTTTAGCCTTGATTACCAGAACGTTTTTCGAGCACCAGCAAAGTACCAGCACTGGAAGGTTTTCACGTGTCGGGCCCTGGGATGAAATACTCGTTCGACACTTCGCCAGCGTGTCGGGCAGACACTCTTATGAAACTTTTCGGGGTACCAGAGGATTCTTGGAGCTCAGTGGGCCCTGGAAACGACAGGGCAATTTTTTTACCAGGTCCGTTTTGCCGTTTTCTGGCCGGTTACAACAGCGTTTTTTAGCCAGTTCCGTCGCAATTGTTTGCCCGTTCCGGCTCCGGTTCCAATCCTACCGTAGGCATCCATTTTCAAAACACTTGTTCAAAAACGGCGACAAAACGGCCCTGCCGTTTCACCAAGCTGGAGGCCTCCAGGAGGCCCCAATAGCAACACGATCCCCAAACCTTGATTCCCAGGTCGCCCAACTTCGCGACGAGCGGTCGTCCTCGCGCCCTCGCGCCGCCGCCTTGGAGAGGGCACCTCTCCAACCCAAGCTGCGCGAAGCGCGATTCTCTTCGCGCCCCTGGGGGTGACCCAAGATCGCCGCCGCCGCGGCCGACCGCCGCGACGGCCGCCGCCGCGGCCGTCGCCGTCGTCGCTGTCGCCGCGGCGGCGGCGGCGGCGACTGCTGCGACGACGCGGCATCGGCGATGGTCGACCAAGCGCGCATGCAAACATCCGCCACCGTGCCTTCAGCACAGAGTTGAGAGCCCAGAGGCTAATGCAGGTGTGCGAGTTTGGCGGATTGTACAAGTGTTAGGTCGTGCATGTCCTCCTACAGAGGGATTTCGGACTAAAAATAGAACATAGTGAAACAAAATTTGGAAATACCCCAAAATAGTCGAAAACTTGTCCCAAATTTTTGTTGTACTACTTTTGAGTATTCCAGGGCTGAACCTACACGGTGTTGTTCGTTTTCGTTTTGTTTTCGTTTCCCTCGCGTTGTCTCCAATCCGCCTTTAACACAAAACGACATCGAAACGAAAACGGCCCACGAAATCGCCAAAACACCGTTCAGGTCCACCCCTGGAATATTCATCCTGTAGAGGGACAGGCCCGACTGAATACAAATTCTCAAGGCCTGGACCACGGTTTTCCTGGAACTCGCGAGCGCTCTTTTGGGTGCTCCGGGGGCGTGTCGCGCCGGCCTCTGGGGCGGCGAGCCCGCCCAAAATGGCCCGGCGAGCCCGCAAAAGCCTCCCGAGAAGCGCCCGAGGCCGTCCCAGAGATTGTCGAGCAGGCCCGGCCATCGCTCGGACGTCCATTCCCTGTGTTTTTGTTCGGTTCGTGCCTGGTTTTTTTCGCCAAATGATCAAGAATGCTCCTCGATAGCCCTGGCCGAAAGAAAAATACACACGTCCGAGCGATGCCAAGGGGCCCATGAGGGTCTGAAGACAGCATGCGATGGACCCATGACGGCCCAGGAGGCCCCCAAACGCCCCAGCAAGCCCCAGGAGGGCTCCGAGAGGCCGCCCAAGAGCGCCCCACGAGGCTCAAAGGACTGTTGTTGCATTGGCTTTTGACGACTGTGAGCGTTCTCGCCTTTTCGAGCTGTCGACGTTGCAAGACGGCCCAAGATGCCCCAGGATCGCCCTCAGACGGCCCAAGAGTCCCCAAGGAAAGCTCCAAGACGGCCCCAAAGGCCCCTAAAAAGATCCACGAGGCCCCCATGACGGGCCAAGACGGCCACAAGAGCGGCCCACCAGGGGAACGCGAACTGGCACGTCGAGCCCTCCGCCCCAAGACGAGCCCCGAGACGGTTAGCAACCGCCCGTGAGGCCCCCTATGCGCACCAGAGGCGCTCCCGAGATGCCCCCCCGTGACGCCCCCCAATAGGCCAGGCAGAGCCCTTCAAAATGCATCCACGACCCAGGCGCGGTGGTGGGGTGGGATGGGCCGAAGAGGCCCCCCTCTCTTTCGCGTGCACACATGTTCAATTGCTTTGTTCTCTCTCTCTCTCTCTCTCTCTCTCTCTCTCTATCTCTCTTCTTTCCCTCTTTGTGTTCTTTCTCTCTCTCTCTCTCTCTCCCTCGCCTCGGCCCCGGGGGCTCCCTCCCTCCAGGAAGGACCGGCACCCCCGCAGGGGACCCCCAGGGCAGCCGGAAGGCCATTGTCCGCCCGCAGGGCCGGTGCCCCGCGAGCCGCTCGAATTTATCGGCGCCAGGTAGGAGGAGGAGGAGGAGGAGGAGGAGGAGGAGGAGGAGGAAGAGGAGGAGGAGGAGGACGAGGAGGGGAAAAGCGGGGGCGCGCTGTGGCAGGGGCGGCAAGGCAAGGGGAAGGGAGGGAGAGGGGGAGGGGGCCGGGGGCGGGGGCAGTCGGCAGGCGGCGGTCGTCGTGGTGGTTGTCGTTGGGGTTGTGGTGAAGGTCGTGGTCGTGGGGCAGGTCGTGCAAGTCGTGGTGGTCGTGGTGGTCGGCGGTGGTCGTCGTTCGGGTGGTCGTGGTGTTCGTGGTCGCGGTGGTTGTCGTCGGCCAGGTCGAGGTGGACGTGGTGGCGTGCCAGTTGTGGTCGTGGTGGTGGGCGCGGTGGTCGTGCTGAGGATGGTTGAGGGGCTGTTTGGCTGCTCGCACCGCACTAAGCAGCATCTCCGCGTTGCCGAAAGCCAAACAGCGCTGGATCTTCCTCCAGGTGGCGGAAATCACGCCCGACCGCTCGGCCTCCGGTAAGTCCTGGCCGTAAGAGCGGATGAAGGCGACCAACTCGTCGGCTGGCCGGCCACCCGACTCCAAGACAGCCGGTGGTCTGTTGTGCAAGGATAGACAAGGGGGGGGCGAACTTGAACAAAAAGGAACTGTGGGATTCCTTTTCTTCATTGAAGTTGCCGTGCCTGGGCTGTGGGTTAGAAGTTTTCTGGATGCAGGCCACGGTATGTTGGGATGCCACTCGTGGTCTTCGTGCAAAAAATAGGCATGGGGTGAATGTGAAAAAAAACAAAAAATCTAAAATTCATTTTCTCGACTCATGGGATCATGGGATCTCGATTTCCACGGTGGTTTCAGGGGCAGCCAAGAGGACACGAAGACGATCCAAGAGAGTACCAAGATAGCGTTAGAGAGTTCAACAGCATTCCCGACAAATCTTTGCATGTGACCCCAAAGTCTTGATGGGGCTCGAGGAAGAGGATAGGGGGAGTAGGAGCCCCAACTTGAAAAAAAGGAAATCTCTGGAATTCCTTTTTTTTTTCAAGTTCCACGGTCTTTGAAGTCTCTTGGAGGCTTTCTGGGGGCCTGGAGAGCGTCTTGGGCCTTTCTTTGAAATTCTGGCGGTTTTTCGTGGTCGTCTTGGGGTGTCCTGGGCGTTTTGGGGGCTCCCCGGGAAGTCGGGAAGCAGGGTACCGCGAGCGTTCCGCAAATGTTCCGGGAAGGTGTGGGACCCCCAGGAGGAGGGGGCGCGCATCTGTTGAATTTGAAAAAAAGGAATCTTTTTGTTTGTTCAGATTCCTCGGTCTTGGTGCGTTGGAAGCTGCAAAACGTGAGAATGCGAAACAAGTCGACAACAAACCACTGACAATTCACGTTTTTACCATCTTCGGGCTCTTTCGGGACGGCTCTCGAGACTCTCTTGGGCTGTTTTGGGGGCCTCGTCGGAGCTTCTTTGGGGGCCTCTCAAAGGGTCTGGGGTGTGTTGGGGGCCTCTGGGGGGTCCCAGAGTCCTCTCGGAGGTCTCGGGCGGCCTCCTGCTCCCGCTCTTGGGCTCATCTTGGGCCTGTTATGGGGTGGTCTGGAGCTGTCCGGGGCGCCTCTTCGGCAGTCTTTGGACCGTCTTGGACCGTCTTGGGGCCGTATTGGGGGCCTCTTGGGCGGTCTTGGGGGCCTCTTCGGCCGCCTTGGAACGTTGGAAGCATGAAATGGTGAGAAGGCCAAAAACCCTGAACAACAACCAAGACAATCAACGATTTCAGCTTCTCCGGGCGCTTTCGGGAGGCCTCTCGGAGCTCTCTTGAGGTCTCTTGGAGGCCTCCTGGGAGCCTGGAGAGCCGCCCGAAAGCTATCCTCGGTTGCTTGGGAGCGTCTTGGGCAATTCTTTTACGTTCTGGGGGTTTCTTGGGGGTCGTCCTGGGCTGTCTTTGGGCATTGCGGGGGCTCCCTGGGAGGCCGGGGAGCGCGGTACCGGGAGCGTACAGAAGATGTGAGTGAGGTGGATGACGCCCTGGGAGGGGGCCCGGCGTATTTGTTTCACACATATATATATATACATACATATATATACACATATATATATGTATGTATGTATGTATGTATGTATATATATACATATATATATATATATATATATCAGCCTACTCCGCAACCCTCGCCAGACGGAACTTGTTCTATGTGAGGGCGGATGAGCTCGGCCTCAGTCTGAAGCTAGCGTAGCAGGCACGCCAACAAATCGAATATTCGAGAGGCCGGGGATCGCCCGCCACATTTCACCACAGAACGCTGAGAGAGTCGAACGGGGCAACGCAAGCAGACGGGGTTGGAGGGAGAGAAAAACTATAGAAGCGCAAACGCTTGGCGGCGATCGGGCTCCACAGATGATTCACGTTGGAGCACTCGCATCAGCCTACTCCGCAACCCTCGCCAGACGGAACTTTTTCCGTGTGAGGGCGGA